TGTTTCTCGAATAATTATCACTGTTTTGATAAACAAATCAAGAGAGAGCCAGGGTTTCTTGATTATAGCACGTAGATGTCCCAATCATGCCCAATGGTCTCCTTTCCCCCCCCCCCATTTCTTATCTTGACTGTCGGGATTTTAAAGAGATGCATAAAAAGCAGATGTTGAAATTTCAAGGTGTTCATGGTTAGTTCCCCGTTTAGGAAAAGCTTCCTACCTGGAATTTCTTACTCCTTGATCAGTCCCGGTTGGGACAACCGCATAGGCAGGAAGCTCACATCAAAGCCTGACTGATCGCCCACTTTCAGAACGGGGAACTTCTATTTCTAGACTACAAATCCCAGAATCTCCAAATCTGCCTGCCAATGGGAAATGTAGTCCACAACTTTCTTTCTGAAATATTACATTCTATCTGCTTTCCTCACAGCTAGCTGCCAGGCTTGGGCAGATGCAAAAGAGAGAGGGGCTCCTGCACCTTTAATAGTGGCATAGCAGGTTTATCGTCATGCAGCTATTCAAGGTGCACAAGCCCCTGCCCACATTATGTCCGGCTGCCCTGGGCTGGGAATAAAGTGGATCGAGTGAGAGGATGGAAATGGATGGGCAGAGGAAGGGTTCAGCACTCCTTTTCTGATGCCTCAAAACGTTCAGTGCATTTCTTTGATAGCATGAGGTCCAAAAAAGGCGGATTGTAAAACACATGTTAGTTGTAAGGAATCGCAGGTATTCTGACCAAATCACACCTCCCAAAGGGTTACCATTTATTCCAGCCCTTCCCAGACTTGAGTCCCCAGATGACCTTGAACTACAATTCCCAGAAATCCTGGCCAGCACAGCTAGTGGTGAAGACTTCTGGGGGTTGTAGTCCAAAAACACTTGGAGATCCAAAGTTGGGAACCATTGTTCTATCCCCTTTAGCTGATAATTCAAGAAGTGGGTGCTCTACCGACTGAAACACATGCAACTTGAACGGGTGGTTGCCTGGTTCTGATCATCACGTTGAGCCAGGCCAACGTAGAGCCAGGATTGCAGCCCTCTCCCCTAAACGGAGCACAAAGACATGAGGGTCGAGCTAGCTAAGGGGTCTTCAGGAAGTCAAAATGAATCTATGCATGAAGGCTGTCCTTTTTTGAGTGGCCGGGGGCTACAGGCCCGATCAAAATCTGCTCCTTTCTCTTTTCAGAATTCAACCAGACAGTCCAGGGTTCTGGAAATATGACAGACAAAAGCAGTCAAGATCAGCTGCTGTTTCTCTTTCCAGAATTCAACCAGCAAAGCCAGGGCGTGAGCCCCATCGACGACCCCTGCGCCGAGACCCCCAGCAAGAAGATGCGGCGCAACCGCTTCAAGTGGGGGCCGGCCTCGCAGCAGATTCTCTACCAGGCCTACGACCGGCAAAAGAACCCCAGCAAAGAAGAAAGGGAAGCCCTGGTAGAGGAGTGCAACAGGTA